TGAAGAGAGACAGCAGCTGTTGATACCCCTTCTCGCACATTTTAAACCCCTGGCTAATTATCTTACATATGCCGAGGAATGCTTGATGAAGTTCTTACTGGCTGATACTTATGATTCTGTCACGCGCAATGTTGCTAAATATTGTTACTTGGTAATTAAAAAGCGCAGAATGTACTGTAACTCGAGCCATTAATGACGGAATTGACCGGTGTGGTATTTTAGTAATTAAGCTTGTAAGGTTCTTATGTTGTAGATTCTGTGTTTAATATTTCGGTTCATTTTGCTGGTCTTATGACTGTTCTTAATAATAAACTTACTGAGCACCCCTCTGCATGCAGCCAGTCACAGTTCTCTCAGAGCTGTTCTCTCCAGAGCAGTTCTCTCAGAGCTCTCTCAGCCCCACCTACCTCACAGGGTGTCTGTTGTGGGGAGAGGAAGGGAAGGCCATCGTAAGCCACTCTGGGACTCCGACTGAAGAGTGGGGTATAAATCCTCCTCCTCTTCGTCTACTCTATACTTGTGACCAATCTTGCTGTGTTATACATGGGTCAGAACAACTGTGTGCCAATAAAGTACTTTAAAAAAAATCAAGAGTAGATTGATTTGTTAAGCTAGCAATATACATTTCCTTTCATATTTTCTCTCTTCTTGAAAGCAAATCCTGAGGCTTCCGGGGCATTTGTTGAGGGGTGAAGCGCCACCTCTGTGCTGCTTTTGGATAACCTCAGTCAGTATAGCAGAGAAGCAGTGTGGTGTAGTGGACAGAAGCTTGAAATAGCAGCTAAAAGGCCTGAGTTTGAGTCTTGCTCAGCCATGGGGTGACCTTGGGCTAGTCATACCCTTTCGGCTTAACCTGCACTTCTGAAACAAACAGGCTGTGTCTGGATGTGTTTTATTTATTTCCTTCATTTTTACACCCCATCTTACTCCCCCCATTGGGGACCCAAAGCAGCCTACATCACTATCTTTTCATCCATTTTACTCTCACAACCACCACCGTGTGAGGTGGGTTAGGCTCACCCAAAGAGCTTCCATGGCAGAGTGGGATTTAAACCTTGCTGTCCCAGATCCTAGGCTGACATTCTGACCACTGCATCACACTAGCGTAAGGGAGTTGCTGGGGGGGGGGGGTGCCTTTTTCTGTACTGACTAGCAGGCTCAGAGAATCAGGTGCCAGACGTCAGGCAAGGCAGAGTTGTTCAGTCCAAATCAGGCAAGGCAGAGTCGGTGGTTGAGTATCTATCGTTTGTGTTGCATCCACACCTAACAGCCTCCCTTGGCTGGTTTTTATAGCTGTATGCTTCAGGGTCACGCTTTCAGCCAGCTGCTCGGGAGTAATCCTGCAACTACTCATCTTTGCTATCAGCAAGCAGCTGATGTCAGGCCAGGAGGCATGCATTTTTTCGTCTTTCCCGTAGTTCTATTTCTAGCCTGTCTGTCGTGCTCTAAGGGTGTGGGTGATACTGAAGGGCTGGAAATGACCAACTGAGTTTTTCCTGTTGAATCGGGGCTGGAGGGTCTTGGTGGCTCTGCACTAGTTGTTGGCTGTGAATCCTGACAAGCCTGCAACTCATCTTCCTTATTGCTGGCTTCTGCTGACTCAGAGCTGGCTACACAGGGCTCCTCTTCTCCTGAGGAGTCCTCACTATTGCTTAGCCCTGGCTGACCTATGACACTTGCCTGCATAGAGCTAGCCACGTCTTTGGGGTCTGTTGTGGAAAGCAGACCCCGTTCCAGCCTTTGTCCCTGCAGATCCGTCCAATGCAGCTGTCAAAGACCCTCTTCTTCTTTGTCATCTTTTATCTCTGCAATGTTCTGAGCACTTCTCTTCTTAAGAGTGGCTGAAATTGCTCTCCGCTTCCAAGCCCTCACTCTCTGCCTTCTGCCAACTGCTACGGCTTCTTGCACTAATTGCATTGCTGCGCTCCACTTTTTCAGCCTCTTGTACATCAGCTGGATTATTAGTCCTCTTTGACCTTTCATTAATTCCCCCTTAACAGTAAGTAGCCAGATGTATCCTAGACAAGTGAGTCCCCCAGCATGTGCCAGGAGCTTAAAAAGTGGACAGGCTAGATGAGGATCTCTGCTCCCCAAAATAAATCTCTGCCGTTGCGGGAAAATAATGGAGTGGGGTTGTTTGCAGTGATATCACCCATGTGCTCCTTCCCAGAGGGGCTCCAGCCATGGTGGCTGAATGCATACTTCCTTTTCCTGCTGAGGAACGTGTCTTGTACC